AATTTTCTTTTGATGATCATCATTGACCTTTGAAAGTAAATTTTGTAAATCCAAATTTTTCTTTTCAAACTCTTCTAGTTTGATTTGCAAATCTTTGATTTTACTTTCAAGATCGTTGTTGGTTTTGGATATGAGTTTATTTTCATTTTTCAATTTTGAAACATCATTTTTATAATTTAAAAACAATTTCTCATAATCCGAAGCCAACCCATTATATTCCTATAATAGCTCATCATAAGATAAATCATCAAATTCAGATGAGTTAGAGGTTACCTTATAATCTTCCCCGAATGCCATCAAGTACAAGTTTGCTACTTCTTGATCCTCTTCATCGGAACCCTCTTCATCGCTCCATGTAGCCACATGAGCCTTGTGCTTATTTTTTGATTGACCCTTTCTCTTCAATTGTGGGTATTCATATTTGACATGCCTCGGCTTTTTGCATTCATAGTAAATGATATGGTCCTTCTCTTTTGGTTCATTTTTGAGGCCTTGATTTCGTTTGAATTTTCTTGCTTGGTAAGGTCTCGTCATTTTTCTGAAACGTTTGGCAAACAATGCCATTTTCTCGTCATCGTCATCTTCATCTGAATCACTCTCATCTTTTTTAGATTTGAGGGAAACTCCAATGTTTTTCTTCTTCTCCTTCTCCTTTGGTGTCTCGTCAATCTTATCGAGGTCCACCTCATCTTCAAGCATCATTTCATGAGTGAGGAGGGAACCGATTAGCTCTTAAAGAGTTAAGGACTTTAGGTTCTTAGCCTCGATGATTGCAGTCTTCTTGGATTGCCATGATTTTGGAAGTGAGTAAACTAACTTCCTCATAAGCTTTTCGTTTGGAATGATCTCTCCATATGATTTGAGACCATTGACAATCGTTGAGAATCTATTCGTCATAGCTTTGATATCTTCATTTGGTTTCATCCTGAAATTTTCATAGCTATGTGTTAGAAGACTAATTTTAGATTCTTTTACCTCGTCGGTGCCTTCATGAGTGACTTGTAGTTTATCCCATATTTCTTTGGCGGTTGTACAAGATAAAACTCTTCCATATCCATCTGGTCCAAGAGCACAAAATATGATATGGATTGCTTTGGTGTTCAGCTGGAACATTCTTGTCTCTCCTTCACTCCACAATCTTGTATGAGTGAGAGGCTTGATATATCAGTCTTCTACAACATTTCATGCTCCCATGTCACTTGCTTGAATGAAATACATCATCCTATTCTTCCAATAGGAATAGTTAGCTCCATTAAAGAAAGGAGGCTCGTTGACGGGCATCGAATCGAGACCGGAGTCGACATTTGAAGTAGATACCATTGATGACTTGACAATCGATGTAACTCTTCCCGAATCGACTCAAGAGGCGATTAAACCTTCAAATGAGTGAGGCTCTGATACCAATTGTTGAGTTAATCGATCGATAAATATGGCCAAGAGGAGGGTGAATTGGCAAATAAAAATTTCGGTGGAAGCTATGCAGAAAATTGAAAGTAATTGTGCAACGATTTATAGTGGTTCGACTTTCTCAACCAAAGTCTAAGTCCACTACCTTAGCTATCCACACTAAGGATTTTCCACAGATTCACTAATTTGTCTTTCTTTTGAGGACAAAGAGTAACCTTACAAATCCCTCAAGAATTATACCCCAAATTCTTGAGAACACTCTCTCCCAAAGAGAAGATTACAAATTTACAAACTCTCAAGGAAATCCTCACAAGGTAGATTGTTTGCACAATTCTAGAACAAAGAAAAGAACACTCAAGAATGAATACAATTGAGTACAAGTAGTGTTCTTGAAAGCAAAATAAATATTGAATGAAAAATAGGCTTGAAATGCTCAAACTTGAGGTTTGATGCTTTCTCTATGATTCTCTCTTAATTCTTGTTGATTATTGTTTCTTGTTTTCGATCAATGGCTTCTAAGCTTGTTTAAATACACCTTCAAATGATTCTGAACGTTGGGGATGATTAGTGGAGTCAATAGAGCCGTTTAAGTGTGAAAACAATTAATTAAAGCAGTTGGGAGCGTCAGTGCATCGATGCATACCCTAGGTGCATCGGTGCATCAGTGTAAAATTCAAATATTTTGACCGTTGGACTCTCAGTGCATCGGTGCACTAAGAGTGCATCGATGCATAAAATGCATTCAATGTTTTAAAAAAGCCTGAGTGCATCGATGCATGGTATTGTGCATCGATGCATCAAATGCACTGAGTGCATCGATGCATGGTATGTGCATCGATGTATAAAATGCATTCGATGTTTGAAAATTTAATTGGTGCATCGATGGATGGATTGGTGCATCGGTGCATCACTTTGAAAAATTGATTTTAGGCTTGATTTTGGTTCAAAATACTTTGTGAAAATTGTTTCAAAAATAGTTTAAGTATAAAACACAATTTTACACATTTAGTAAGGTTTGAATTTGAACTTGAAAGACTTTGAGTAATAATTTGATATTCGATTAATTAAATCGAATATACTTAGAAAATCATTTGTAAAATCTTAAAATTCATTTAAACTTAATTTGTTATATCGAAACACAAAAATGTTTTCAACAAAGTGTGACTATTCCAAGACTTGTGTCTATTCTAGATATAAAGAACAAAAGGATGTAATACATAAAAGAGTTAATCACAAAGATGATATATCGAATCATAATTTCTTGTAACTTAGGTGACAATGATATATTGCTATATGTCACTCATTGTATGTAATATTAGAATTGTTCTAATAATTACTACTAATGTTACAAGAACCTACAGGGTCACACCTTAGGATTGAAATGAGCAAAGATGCACAATTTGTTGTATGTTACTAAAATATATCTAGAGTTAATATATGTATATTTTATATACATGTGATTTTAATTATCCCGAATATAGTAAGTAAATATTAAAAGAATGTAATTTTGATTACAACTCTTTTAATCGATATTTAATTTGGAATAATTAAATAAGAGTTTAAATAAACGTTAAAGATTGTAATTCAGATTATAAGTCTTTAATTTATATTTAATTTTAATTAATTAAATCAATTTTTTTATTAATTCGAAATAACTTAAAATCCCTAATATGTTAGGGTAACTGATATATTTAAAGTGAGGTAAGGTCTAGCAGCCATTATCTTCATCCGTTTTTCTCAAAACTATTTTTGGGAAAAGTAAATTTTGCTCTCAATCGGGTGAACTAAGTAAAGGTCGAGACGTGTTTTCGTGGAGGCTTACGATTCGAACCGTTCGTGATCACCCTTAGTCGTTGCTGTCTTTGTTGTTTTTCAAGAAACCCATTGTAAGTATTCGCATCATTTCCTCCCGATTTCGGTTTTGTGTACTTGGATCGCTGGTGACACCGTCGAGTTTTTGTTTCCATTGCACCATGGGGTGCGCCGACGGTCCTAACAGAACTATACCTGATTCTTAGTTTCATACATAATGTTTAAAAATTCTTGAGTTCATACATGATTTTTTTTGCCTTTAACGGATTCACCCACTTCCGTCACGGAAAGTGACATGTAACCTTACTACAACGACAAGTGGCATTTTAAAATATGTTTTTTTTATTTTTTAGGTAAATTACACCATTCATCTCTTAACTATCTTCTCACTCTTATTTTAGTCACTAAAATTTAATTTTTTTAATTTAATTATCAAACTATAGAATTACTCTTATTTTAATAACTCAAATTTATTTTATTAATTTTTTATGACATGGCATATATTAATAACTCAAATTTATTTTATTAATATTTTAATAACTCAAAGTTTAAATTACTTTTTTATTTTATTGTATTTGCTTTAATATGTAACTAGAGTTTGAAAATTTCCTATCCCTATTCCTTCTCTACCTCCATAATCTGTGTTGCAGTTATAGATAATGAGAAGTCAACCCTTATGCCATAAATCAAATTCGAGAAGAAATTTGGTCATTCACCTGTTTTTATTGCTTCAACACTTATGGAGGATGGGGGAATCCCAAAGGGAGCAACCACTGCATCACTCTTGAAATAAGCAGTTCATGTATGAATGGGGTAATTAACCTATTTTATTTGAGAATATTTGTACTTAAGCTGGTGTATTGTGAAATAAATCTTCAATTTTGTAGGAATATTAACTTTGAAATGTACCAATTCCTTATGATTATTAGATTTAGGGTTGGAGGAAAATGGTGTGAAGAAGCTTAACTTGTTAAACCCATTTGGAGAATTTTTAAGAAATTTGGTGGTTTGTGATTTGGGGTTTGAATACAAGATTTAGGGACTTTAATTAATTTATTTTTTATTTTAATTTTATGTAATAACAATATTAATAAAATAATACTAATAGATGTCACATCATAAAAAATATTAATAAAATAATACTAACTGATGCCATGTTATAAAAATATTAATAAAATAAATTTTAGTTATTAAAATAAGAGTATTCTATAGTTTAATAATTAAATAAAAAATAAAATTTAATAATTAAATTAAAAAAATAAACTTTAGTGAGTAAAATAAGAGTGAGAAGATAGTTGAATGATGAATGATGTAATTTACCTAAAAAATTAAAAACATGTATTTTTAAGTGTCACATGTCATTTTATTAGTGGTCGTAGGGTTCCACGTTACTTTCTGTGATGGAAGTGAGTGAATCTGTTTACGGTAAAAAACATCATGTATGAAATCGAGAATTTTTAAATATTATGTATAAAACTGAGAATCGGGTATAATTCATGTATGAATGAGATAATTAACCCTAAATATAATGAAGATTATTAGTAGTATTAAACACGATTTACTTAAAACCATGGATGGTTTTGCTTCAAAGGGCAAAACGAGGTGACAAGAAATCCAGTACAGGGGGCGGCGTTCATAGTGCCCGACTGATTTCCCCCTTTCATGGTCACTGTTTTCAACGAACTGAATAACTTTAATAGTAAAAACATATGTTTTAAAAAAATTAAAGTACAGGTAGTAACGTTTGTTCACTACGTCTATATTATTAATAGACTAAAAAATGGAAATAAATAATATCTTATAATGATTTTAAATTACTTAAAAAGAAAATGTATACAATGACTCTTCCAAGTGACGCAGTAGACAATGTCGTTGTCTAGATTTCCACTCTTTTCATCCTAATCTAATTTCCTTTGCTTTTTTTCACTTTATCTCTAGAATGGTGCTGATTCCAAAGAGAAAACGACATTCGTATTCATTACCTTATCCTATTAGCCTTGACTAATTTGTGGCACACTCCATGCCACAATCGACCTCATCCCGCAAATGGGAAAACAAACAAAGACCCCCCCCCCCACCTCAGTGCTTCATATGTACATTATGTTACAAGTAGGCGACTTGAATCTTACTATCCGAACCGATTTATAACTCTATGTAACAACCGGATTGAACATAACCCGAGTGTTCGTCCGTCGGTTTTATTCTTGTCCACGTGTAATTTTGTAAATTCAACACGTAAGTGGTGTGGGGCTCACCAAAGTTCGAGGAACCAATAACCAACAGTTTGTCTTCCCATGTGGCCACAAGAGCTGTATTGCATACCTCACCCGGCAGCTCGGCTACCGGTTTCCATGTGTTGGCTTCGAGTTTTGCCACGTCGCCTCCTTGGCACATGTGTAATGCTCCGTCAGCCACCGTGCAAGTCCTAGGACATGTGGCGTGAGATAAGAGGTTCTCTTGAAGTGGTTTCCACTGCCACATGGCAACGTCGAATAGCTCGGCACTACTCACGAATTGGCCTTGCCTATCTGTACAATATCCGCCGATGACGTGGAACTTTCCTAGGTGGAAAATCCCCTTACATTCGTCACGTTCTCTTTCCATATCGGGCAATTGGACCCACTTGTTAGTGTCCACGTCATACGCCATTGCAGATCTCAAGGCGTTTTTCTCGCTGTCATGTCCGCCGGCAACGAACACCATTCGATCCGAGTCCGACGCGCATCCGAAGAAGACCCTCTTCACACCCGGCATGTCGGTCCCGTGCCGCCAAGTAGCCGATAGAAAATTATACACATATACCTCGTTGCGGACATCAAAAGTATCCGGATCCAACCCACCCATCACCACAACGTTTAACCCGACTCGAACAACCTGACAAAACACCGGCAACCCATCGGAACACCCCGGAACCGGCGGCATTTCGCACCAGTCACCGGTATCGGGCTCGAAAAGCACGAGCCGATAAACAGGCAAAGCCTGGCATTTCAAACCCGAATCTCTATCCGGGTCGACTCGGGATTGAGTCATAACCACCACATGTTTACTACACCCTGCGGCTCTCCGGTGACGAAAAAACTCAGGCAATTGAATTTCGAGCTTCCAGTTTTTACAGGTCGATGCAATATTGGAGAAATCATTGTATGGGACACGAATTAAACATTCGCGAGCAATATCATTAGGAAGACCGGGTATAAGCTCCATGATAAGAGAAATGGTATGAAAATCTTTGTTTGGGAGAAAAGAAAAGATGGTTTCTTTGTTTTTTTGGGTGAGAGAGTAAAGGATTGAGAGGTTAATATATAGGGAAGATGGATGAGTTCAAGTTGAAGAAGATAAAGTGAAGAAGACAGGGACCGAATAGATTATGGGGAACCATTGGACGTTTGTTTTGTTACGCCGCTTTCAGTATCGCTGTTTTCCTTTTTGTTGTTTTGCATTTGCATACAGTTTTTTAACTTTTATTGATGGATTCTCTTGCTGTTCATATTGTTTATTAACTAGCTACCAGAGTTAACTCCCTGGGATATATATAACTTTTGGGCAAACTAAATTATGAATCATCAAATTTTTACTTTTCTACTTTGGTCACCAAACTATTCTTCTAACAAAAGCATCACTCTTATATTTTTTATATTTCAATCTTTTAAAATATTTTTTTATTTTTACATCATTTTCTCTCTCTTTTTCAACAATATATTTATTATTTTTAATAATTTTATTCGAGTTAATCAAGTGACGATGCGTATCACTATTTTATTAAAAATAAATTAAATAGTTGAGATAGAGGAGACTCAAACTTATATTTATAATGGTCACTGATAAATAAAGAAAAAATGTGCTACTACAAACGGAAGAGATCTGAAGCCGGAACCTCTTTTGTGTTGTTTGGTTCATTTTGTTGGTCTTGCTTGAGAATTACTGCCTGCACCATCGTTCAATATTTCAAGTGCAACCCATCAATCTTAAACCACCCTTCTTTTCTTTGGGATAATCTGAAAATTTATTTAACACCGCGTTTGATCGAGAAAGACAACAATCTATCATGCACGTCGGAAACTTTTTTAACCACTGTACACTACTTCAATACCTACTGAGAAGAATAACATTTCTTTTAACCACTAATGAAATTTGATTCTCAATTTTCGACTAATATAAAATAAAAATCACCACTTTGATATTTTATCCTATTATTTACAACAAAACTTTAATTAATTTATAAAATATTCGTTAAAATGGTATTCAACTATAGAGTATTGTTTTATTAAGCCTATCGAATATTAAAAGTTCCAAAATGGTTCGTCGAGTATAGATAGTTGCTTTTTGAGTCTCTCAACTAACAAAATGATCACCTGACTATTTATTATGTTTCAAACTCGTCATTTTCTATTAAAAAATTGACGATATTCTAAGTTGAACGTTAACATACTAATTGTGATATGATAAAATATGATCTCAGAATCTAAAACGACTATCATAACTCAGTCATCATGTTAACGTCCAGCTTAGATAACTACAAATATTTTAACCAAAAAAGACGAGTCTAAAACATAATACGTCGACAAAAAAATTATAAAAAAATAGCAAGTATATTTATTCGAAACATTCCATAAACGATGGGGGAAAAGTAGTTCTACTATTCAACTCAGACAAGTTGGAAACACATGCAATAATTGATATCTTTTCGTTTACACTTGAGATGACGAAGGGAAATGGATAAACATCACTTAAATGGATAAGAATTACTTCGAGCAATTGGACTTTCGAAAATTGTTTTGTAAAGTAACATGCACATTATTATATTTTTATTTATTTATGAATTTTGAATCTAATTTTATCCGGAAGAGAGAAGGTAAATCAAAGAAAAAAAATAAATATTCTTAATAGGTTCGGAATCTATAACTTAAGAGAATATAAAAAGAATATGAAATAGATAATTTAATTTACCGATTAAATATGTTTATCCATATTATATATTTTAATTAAGTATTGAATATCGTGATGATGTATATTATATCTCTAAATTTAAACTGTTTTTGTCTTTTTCTAGATCTGTGATTCAGTAAAGTTCAAGCTAAATGGATAGCTACGAAGTAAAGTTTTCTTTAAATCTGGAAATCATATTTCAAAGCAATGATTTTTCTTTAGTTCTTTAAGACACAATAAAATAATTCAATGGTTTTGGACACAATAAAACAATCCCTTGGTTTTAGTTCTTTGAGACGCATTGATGATATTTAAATTAAATTTTAGAGTAAATTATGTGTTTTTAGTTCGTTTTAGTATTTAAATTTTTTATTTTTTTAAAATCATATCTAAAATTTAATTTTTGTTTCATTTTAGTACATGTCATTAAAAAATTTAGTTTTTGTTTCATTTTAGTATCTCCGTTCAAAATTTAATGTTAAGCTTTGAAAAAATTAAAAAATTAGATACTAAAACGGACTAAAAATGATAGTTTAAGTACTAAACGCGTTAATTTTTAATAGTGGGTACTAAAATGAAATGAAATTAAACGTTATGTATGGTTTTAAAAACATTGAAAATATAATGTAAATACTAAATACGTAGTTTACCCGAAATTTTATTATATATGAACCTATCAAAGTTAATTTTTATGATAAATAATTCTCAACCAAAAGATTGCATGTTGGTTCAAGCAAATATAAATTACATATAAGACTAACCAATAATTCTCACTTTTGAAGCATTTTTACCCTTTTTTTTTAAGATCTAAAAACATTAACTTGTCAACACATAAATTTGCTAAAAAATCAGAATTGGGATTGATTTTTTTATAAAAAAAAAAATAGGAGCTGAGTTAAGTGAAGAATATCTTGATTAGGCGCAAAGGGGGTTTGTTTTCTAAATTATACTATTTTCTTTTTGAACTAACATTTAAAGTTTACTTTGAAGATTTTACCTTTTTAATTTTAAATCTTTTTAATTTTAAAACATTACTCGATTTGTTCTGTTTTTTTTAACGGCATGGCCTCACTCTTCTTTACGGGTAGTTATGGTATACGAAAACCTAATTTAAGACTAATGAATGATAGAAAATAAGCGCGACCAAATATGTTATAAAAATCATAATATTTTTTTGTTGAACGCAACCTAAAATATTAACTTTTTAACATTTTCAGTTGAACAAAAAATGTTACGAAAAAAGTAACTTTTTAAGTTGGTAACCGAAAATATTATAAAGAAGATTTTCAACCTAAAAATGTTAAGAAAAAGTTGACATTTTAGGTTGTGCAACCGAAAATGTTATGTTCTTGCGCCTTTCCTTAGTCTTAAATTAGGTTGTCTTTCCTTAGACTCTCTCAATCTTTACACCGTCTCCAAAATATGATACAAGTGAACTAGTAGATGCCCAAAAATCTATTAGGTTGATACACTCCAGGATCCTTTGGAAACAAATGCTCTATTGTCTGGTAAATAGCTTTCAGTTCTTAAAGATCATCATAAAAATTCACATTGAACAAATATTGTCCACAACAGATATAACTACTAGTTCTACAAGTAATGCACAACATACATATATTGAATAAGAGAGAGAGAGATCCTGGGAACTAATGTCTAGTGATCAGTTCATCAAAGTATGCTAAGCTTACTTTGCAACCCGGATTCATGGTCAGTCCATAAACAACAATTACGGCCATCTCAAAACCTGGCAGCCTGTTCAATCAGTTCTTTGTACTCATCACTTACAAACGACTTCACTTTGAGACCATCACCCTTCCTCGGAGATTCATACTTTATCCCTATTACGGTTGCCAAACCTGTACAAAGACAAGGCCTCTCATTGCAGATCAAATTGAATAATAACCATGTGGATTTTGTGTCTGAGGCCAAATGAAGGGATTTACTATATGGCATAGTTTCTTATTGGTAGTCTGGTAGAACTCAGTTTAGACATAAGTTATGTTACAAATTATAATACATGTAACTAAAACAAACTCTTGAAGTAAACATTGCCTTTAAATAACAGTTTCGGTGAAATTAGCAATTCTCCAGAAAGCATGCAGTTGATATTTTAATTTATAACGGCATAATGAACTCCTTGCATAGTAAAAAATCATAAGGGAAGGTACTCACTTGAATGTACACGTCCATATAAGAATCTTTCACCTTTCCAGAATTCCAAATGTCTTGACCTGATCCTTGTGCTTTGTCTCCTCCCTTCTGCATTGAATGTTGTACCAGAACCTAGAAAGAAAGAACTCAGCTATTCATCCCAACAGAGTTTTAAAGATGCAAGTTGAGCTTTTAGTATTAGTAACACCTGCAAGGCTTTGTCTTCCAGAAAGTGCTTTCCCCTTTGGTCTATTGCATGGCAGTGGTTTTACTTTGGCCTTATTCTGTTGCTAAATAACCAAATTAAAAAGTAGAAATGAAAAAACAGATAAACTTGAGAAAATTCAAAATAACGGAAATAAACCAAAAAGGCATAAATTTTACATCTTTTTCTTCACCAAATGGATGAAATGATTACATTCATAGGTCCATAGGCATAGACTAATAAAATCTGAAGGGATTCCAGACAGCAAACTGAAGTATGCTAAGTATATACAAGCATCTAATAGAAACTGCACCTAATCAATAACCTTGTAACATACTTTACTCAAAATGCCAATCAGCCATTGCTAGGTAATACAGAAGCACCACTTTCAGTATGTGAGTTTCCTAACTAGACATGCAGATCAAGTTTCACGCTTCACTCTCGTGGTGGTTTTAAACATTTTCATTTTTTTCAAACCCAGGACTTAACGAACCAAAACTAAGTTGAGATTCAGAACGATTTGAGATAAAGATTATCCTTAGCTACTATAATAGATCAAACTGCTTGTCATCCAATAAATAGAGTTAACTACATTGTGTCTGTCAACTGAAATTTTAATTATTATCATGAACTAACGACAGCCAACAGAACACAAAATGTATAAGGTTTCAGTGGTATAAAAGGCAATAAACATTAATCTACAATAGTCTAGGTGGAAACCCATAAAATCAATCTGTGAGATGCAAATTCTAAAAGATTGGTAAACTGCAGAAAACATTTTGACTGGATATCAATATGTTATATGACTCTTTCAAGTTTCAGCATTGAGAGAGAGTGTGAGAGTAGAACTGAGAATACAAGACCGAAAAAATAAAGCAAAATCAGAGAAATAATCAATATTCCAAAGGTACAAAGGCAATAGCATAACTTCTATATGTATGCACAAAAAAGCACTACAACGCCATACTCACAGAAGTTGACTGCTAGATAAAGCGGAAACATAAACAAGATAAAGAATCTTGGACAGAACAACCCTCATGCAGCCGCTCACCACTTTCTGCTACTTTTAAAGATTCATTCATGGAATGGTCCTCATCAATAGCAGGATTAGATTCATCTGTTAGGGGAATGGAAATGTGCACAAAGGAAATTAATAAATAGAAGCCATCAAAAAGCATATTGATGACCAAGGAAAATCTGATTCAAGATGTACCGCATCCAAGGCAACTAAAAGAAATTTATAATTTACCATGCAGAAATGTCAGAGTTAAAATCCATTAATAATAAATTTAGAAAAAAAATATTTCAATGATGATTTATTTAAAGCAAAACAACAGAAAATTTATCCATATTTTGGTTATACTTCAAAAGCAGAAAATTACTGCCTGAACCATCTTTGGACTATAAGATGGCATTTCTGATTTATAACACAACCAACAATGTGCTGCATAAGTTAAACTGATTAGTTAAATGGGAATATCAATATAAATTTATATCTCTAATGCAATTTGTTATTCAATGATACAAGGAAATTAGTATTCACTAGCTATACAAGCCAAAGCATGAAAGTAGGAGATCCCATTAGACAAGAATTTGCACCGCTTCCGGCAGTCAGCATGACTGTGTGTGTGTTGTGATTTTGCTCTCTACTCCAGTAGACAAAAGTGATAAAAGGAGGCTAATAAGGAAGAAACTTTCTAGTTTGCAAAAATCATAATAAAACAATTTTGAAAGATAATAAGTATACTAATATGCAACAAAAAAATAAACCTTATAATTCAGTCATTTGCATCACCATCCCACAACAATATCTCATTAACAGAGGAAATATTCATACCCGACTCTCTCTGAATGGCACCTGAGTTATCAATGGTTGAGCCTTCCACATTAACTTGGATCTGAGAAGGAACAACTTCTTCCAGTGATATATCTTCCACCTGCGTTTGTCACAATACATCGGATTGTTACAATACATCGGATTGTTACATCGGAGTATAACAATCAGAAACAAATGTTTCCACTAAGCTGCAAATGACTATTTATTGAAAAACCAATAGGAAAGCTCACCCTTCCCCCAAATTCATTTGATTGAATTGCATGATTATCTGATTCCGTTCCAGTCCTTAAACTGTTATTCTCTAAGTTGGTCTGAGATACACTAGATGCACTAATACCACAATCAAACCTTCTTGCATTATCATTTACAGATCTGTCAAAGAGACCAGCAAAATCTCTCCCATCGAGCTCAGAACTTGCATTAGCAGTTTGATTTGCTTCTAACAATGGAGACCTCAGCAGATGAGACTTGATGAGTTCCATTTCATCAGCCTGGCTAGATTGTTTATTGATACTTCCAATAGGAGATTCATTTTTCCTAGGTGATTGATCAATATTATCAGTTGAAAAGGCATCGCATTCTGTATCTGACTGCAGCAACTGCAACTGTTTATTTAGCAATGATATTGAAGCGAATTGATTTCTTGGAGGTGTAGGAGAAGCTAAATTAAGAGCTGAACTCTCTGGCTGCTGTTGCGGTGTTTGTCTATCATTGTTGTCAGACACTCTTAGTTCCTTCTCTGTAATAACTTGATCAGATTGTTTACTATTACTTTCAATGCCAGATGCATTTCTCATTGGTGATTGATTAGCATCATCAGTTGAAAATGGATCAGTTAGTACATTAGACTGCAATATTTGTTTCTTCAGTAACGATATTGAAGCCAATGGACTTCTTGATGGAGTGGGAGAAACTAACTGATTAACTGAAGTTTCAGGCTTTTGTTTCCGTGTTATTTACTGAACCCTTTCATCAAACTTTGTATGTCCGATAGCAAGTGTTTAGGCTTGTCCAAGCTTTCTGTAGAAGACTTCAAATCTATCTTTTGAATATCTTGCAAGTCAGGAAGGCATATATTCTCCAGATCAATAGGTTTAATCTGCAACCTCTCTTGGAGAAGATTGACTGTTTCATCTCCATCACAATTACTGGTAAACAAGTGGTCCAAAAGTTCACTAACCTTGTTCTCTGCATTGGCCACTAAGACAGAGGGCATATAGCATTATATTATTGCATGCACGGTGGGGGTAACTTGCAACATGATGAAAACGAGCGCATAATAAAATCAAGTTATATGGCAGGTCAGTTTTAGTCTTTTAAATAAGACATCAAGAATGGGATAGCAGGGACGGAAAAAAGTAACACCCGAGGCTAAATGAACCTTTCCCGACTTACCACTCAATTCCATCTCTTGCAATTCAACATTCAGGTCAGAATTTTCTGATTTTGAATTGCAAAGTGGACTGCGGATTTCCTCTTCAAAGTTCCCTACAGGTGAGAAAGCAGTATAATAGCGATGTTTATATTTAACCGATCTCCTGACCATAAATTCAAACATTATGTCAGATACATGTATGCGTAAGAGAAAATTTGAATACAACGGAAATTTGGTAAGGGAAACACTGATCAGACCGCAACATTCCAGGACGACGAGGCCTTGCAGACATGGACCGAATATTCTGATCCAAATCCATCAGAGCAGTACCCATCTGCTTCTCTATTTCTCTTTTGGCATCTATAAAACAATACATAGATACATGGAAAGCTATGATCATAGAAATACTAGCAGATTGTATTTACCATTTAAACAAAAATGAAATCAAGCAGCAAACTTCAGCCCTTTCAAATGCCACAAAGAATTCCTCGGGATCTACCAATTTATCAATGTCTAATCTCGGTTCCAATTTCACAGTAGGCTGACTATCAACAATTGAAGAAATGAAATGAAATCAACAGATATTACCACAAAAATAAAATGAAATTAAGTAAAATAAGCAGTTTCAAGTAGCACTGACCTGTTTCAAAGAGAAACGAGGTCTTTTACGGCCTAAGGCCGGTCTTCGCTCTCGAGGATTTCCATAATTTCAGCATCAGAATTTAATATATCCAAGTTCAAGAGCTCTGAACTATTATTATCTACAATTTCTTTGGCTTGCTCTATAAGCTTATTATGACTTTGCACTGGCTGAAAAATTATTGGGAAAAAACCAATACTAAATTAGTATTTTTTTTTCATGTACAAAACAACAGTAATGAAATTTAATAGAGGAGAACGAAAATCCAAATAAAGAAGGAGGAGAGAAACCATGGATTTGAGAAAATCGTGAGAGTGCTGAAGATCGTCGGCGTTATGAGGTGGCGGAGGGTTTGGAATGGAAGCGAAGGTCCGAGGGAAGAGCACGAGACCCGAATAGGCCTCCAGCGGATCCGAAGGGAGAGTTTGGAGAGGCATTTGCTTTGATTCTATGGGATTGAGATTGGGCCGAGTGTTAACTCGGTGGAATCGGAAGAGAGGGGAAGACTGCAACTTTGGAAAGGCGAGTTTTGAGTTTGTAATTCGAAAAAGGAAACTGAGAGGGAACCGAGTGGAAACGGATTGGGTTGAGGCGATTTGTGGTTACTGTGGATCCACGTCCCTCTACTATTTTTGCAAATATATGTATTTACTGCTTATCTCACATCAACTACTCCTCTTCCTTACAAACTGTAACCCGTTTAGCCGTGGATCGGTTTCATGGGTGGATGTATAAATTCTTATTCATTTTAGGGTCCGAGTCGAATGTTAATAATAAAATAGATACACTATACTTAGGATCACTTAATTATTATTATTTATTTGGATTATTTCTTTTTTTAATTTTTTTCAAATTTAACTATTTAGATGTAATTAAATCATCTCCCGTTTTTTAGTTGGGAAAAGAGCAAAGAAACTAGAAGCTATACCTAACAGTAAACTATCTACTTCAAGACTTCTAACTAAAACGTCTGGGGGTTAAACAAATTCATGCATCCCATCCTGTAGTGTCCAAGCATACTTGGCCATCAAGTCTGTCGTTCAATTTGCTTCTCTTGGGGAGTATTCCAGAGATACTTCCCACTCACGGCCAAACATGATTTCAATATGTTGTAAAATGGCTAACGATCTATCTTCCTGCTTTCCATCTTTGATCAAACTTACGGCTTTGCTGCAGTCGACTTCCAGTATCACCCGCTTCTCTCTTGCTTTCCAGGTTGTACGTAGTCCCTCGAGTAAATCCCATAACTCTACCTCTAGCGGGGAGCAGTATCCTATTCTTCTTGAGAAGCCCCATAGCCATTCTCCTTTATGGTTTCGTGCGACACCTCCACAAGCTGCTTCTCCGGAATTTAGTTGTCTGGACCCATCGGTGTTGATTTTGCACCGAGACTCTTCAAGTGGTTGCCATCTCGCGATATGTTGTTTACGTGTACAGGATATTTGGTTTTCATGTTTTGCTAACGAGTTTCCTGAGATAATCTTGTCGCTTTATCTAAGATAGGTTCTATTTCAACTGATTATGGATTGAAAATGTATGTGTTCCTCTTTTGCCAAAGTAATCAGAGCATAGAGCTAAAGAAGCTGTTCCACTCAAGTATTTTGCTTGGCGTTGCTGTGTTACGTTCCAGATTTCTGGTAATCCAGGCTAGTAGACTACCATTGAGGAACTCCTCCAGCTCGGAGGGGTTAAAAAGTTATTTCCAAACTACAAATGCAGTCAGTCATTCTCTCCGGATATGGTTGATGTCTTCGAGAGCAGCTCCAAAAGTATCACAGCTCGATGATGACGTTATGTGTCTAGGCACACGTTCAGCATTAGTAAGTAGTCGCTCCTTGCATACAAGCCATAGGAAAGTTTTGACACTGTGTAAGCTTTGAAGCTTGGCTATAAGTGACCATAATTTTTCACTGTGTTCCTCGTCTTGGCTTGAGAAGGATTTATAACCCGAGCTAACTGAGAATAATCTGTTATCCGATGCTCTCCACCTCACAGAATCACGATTATTGGAATTTAGAGATGGTGGGAATGCTTGCAAGTGCTTTGTTGCTTCACAAGGTAACATGTTTGACAGTTTGTCCCACTTTCAGTTTGCTTCCAATGTGACAAAGTCGCATACCTTTCCAGAGTTTTCAATAATAGCGCTCGGTTGCAGACATGACTTGCGAAGCAGGCCCAAATTCTTGAGCCAGACGTCATTCTAAAAATCTGTCTTTACCGTTTCCCACGTTTCAAATTAGATTATCTTCGAAAATCGGCCATAACTTACAGATTTCTTTCCATAGGTATGAGCCGTTACGTCCATGAAGAGTGCTTGGCAATAGCTCTTGTACCTTGTATTTAATACGCACAACTCTAACCTAAAGTAGATCAGTCATTGTGATTAGTTTATATGCAAGTTTTAAGATGAATGCCTTATTTTGAGTATTCAAATGCTTAAGCCTTTGGCCACCTTGTTTAATTGGCAAACATAGTGCATCCCAATTCACAAGGTGGACTCCTCCTCGTTCTTGTGAGTGACCCCGTATGAAGCCTCCAATTAACCGTTCAATCTCCTCACATGCACCTTTGGGGAGTATCATAGATTGCATGGTATAGTAAAGAATGACCGAGAGTAGTGATTTGGATAAAACAATTCTGCTTGCCAGAGAGAGCGACTAGACTTTCCATCCTGAGAGGCGGTCACGGACTTTTTGGATGATTAATTACCGAAAAGCGTCTTTGGTGACTCGATTGCGGAGAGAAACCCTTAAGTATTTGCCAGGGTCTTCGACCTTTGTAAATCCCATGTTTTCACTTATTAAATCCATCGTGGAGTTCGGTACATTCATAAAAAAGAAGATCTTTGTTTTTTGAATACTAACCTTTTGGCCGAGCTTCGACAAAATTTGTGGGTTACCTCTTGGATTGCCATGAGCTGTGAAGTATCTGCTTTCGCAAATAAGATCAAGTCGTCAGCAAAGAAGAGGTGGGATGAGCCATTTGGAGTGAGTTGGATAGGTTTCCAATTATCGTTGTTGACCTCTTTGTTAATTGCTTGGGTTAGTCTTTCCATACATAGCACGAAGATGTATGGAGATAATGGATCGCCCTGTCGGATACCTCTCGAAGGTTTGAAAGCAACAGATAAATCACCATTCCATATCACTTGCATGGACGATGAGCTGACGCAGTTCATAATTACTCTCCTTAGAGCAGCTGGAAAGTTTATATCAAAGAGTGTATCTTCGATGAAGGACCATTCAAGGCAGTTGTATGCTTTTTCCAAATCGATTTTGATTGTCAATCATCCCTTCCTCCCATTCTTGTTTCGCATTGAATGGATTATCTCTTGTTCTATGATAATGTTATCCGTTATAGCACGACCAGGGATAAAGCTCGTCTGACTTCTGGATACTAGGTCTGAGAGAAGTGGTTTAATTCGGTCAACTAGTACTTTAGTGGTTATTTTGTATAGCACTGAGCAGAGGTCGATTGGTCTGAATTGGGATAAAGTTTCAGGTTTGTCGACTTTCGGAATGAGTACAAGCAAAGTCTTATTTAGATCTATGTCAATGGGTTCTCATTCTAGTATGCGACATACGACCTGGCATACCCCTTTACCAACCGTGTTCCAATTACATTGATAAAAAATGACATGAATGACATCCGCTCCTAGAGATTTTAAAGGACCCATACTGAATAAAGCCTCCCTTGTTTCTGCGTCCTCAAAAGGCGTATTCAAGGAATTTACGAGGTGCGGCTCAATGGTTGGGAAAAGTCCTCGTGACTCATAATTGGGTGTTGCTTCCGTGGCACTGGTATACAATTCTTTGTAAAATTTGGATGTGTGATCCGTGAGGAATTGTTGATTTGAAGATCATTCTCCAGAAGGTAGTCTGAGGGTTGTCATTGTTTTTCGTATATGCTTCACTATAGCTTTCGTACGGAAATATTTAGTATTTTTGTCTCCGTGTTTGATCTAGTTACATCTAGCTTGTTGTGCCCATAAGAGTTCTTGTCTGATAACTTCATCGAGCTCTGTTAGAAGTTCCTTCTTGAGATTGACTAGGATAGCCGAGTAGTGGTGTTGGAGTGCCTTATCGATTCCCCAAAGTCGTGCTTGGATTTTTTTTTCTCGATTCTACCGAAGACGTTCTGGTTCCATCTGGATACCTCAGTTGTAAACCTTTTTAAGTTGCTGGTAATCTCACCATCTCTATCCCAGATTGACTTTAAAAATTTATCAAAGTCTGGATGGTTCATCCATGCGGCGAGAAGTCGGAATTGTTTGGTTTTTTTCAAAGTTGGCGCGCTGTTCTTATGGAGCATGAGGGGGCTATATGGTCAGAGCCTATCCGCTCAAGATGAGTCACTTTGGATTTAGGATAGATATTATCTCATGCCATGTTCATTAGACAACGGTTGAGACGTTGCCAAAGATTACCTCGTCTCCAAGTGAAATTTTTGCCTTGGAACTCGATTTCCATGAAAGCATTATCGAAGACAAAGTCATTAAAAAGGCTTCTACATTCATTGTTGTTGATGCTGCCTCCTAGACGATCTTCATTCCTGAGCAAACAATTAAAATCTCCCCCTAGAATCCAAGGTTCATTGTTATGTGGATTGAGAGCGGAGAGCATGTTCCATAAATGTTTACGTATTGGATATGTGGCGACTAGCGTAAACTGCCGTAAAGTAGTGTCATCTATCAATATTGTCCTTTAAACTTATCATTAACAAATTGATTAGCGGCTTTGAGGATTTGCACTTGGATCGAGTTGTCCCAGAGAATCCAAATTCCACCGCTAAACCCCCTGAGTTTCGACTCAGAATGAATTGCAAACCCAAAAGAACTGATGGCTTTGTCGGCTTTTCGCCCGCTCACTTTTGTTTCAAACAGTGCCACTACTTCGGGTTTGCAAGTTTTCATTAGTCTTTTGAATTGACTACGAAAGGTAGGGTGCGTAGCACCTTGTGTGTTCCAGAAGAATAAATCCATAAATAAAGGAAGGTAATTACTGTGACGATGCAACGTTATTCGCAGACTGAGGTAACACCTCCTCCTCTCTAAACTCGCTGGGTGTGGCTTCCACATTCAAAGCAGGGATGGTTGCCTGTACTTGGGTCTGTGATTTATTTGTAGACGGGCGTGGCGTTCCTTTGATAGTCGAGGCTGCATGTATCCAGTCTGAGAGAATAGGTGTGTTGGGTGCTTTGTAATCCTCCAGTCTCCTGAATTTCAGTTTCCTATTGTTATTCTTAGGGAGGGAGGGATCCTTGGTTTTGCGCCATCTTTGAGAGTATGTAGTAGTCCCTTTATCTTCCTTGATAGAGATAACTGCGTGGTTGCTATTCTTTATTTCTGGTTGGTGTTCTGATATTGTTGCTTCCTTTGATGCCGGTATTTGGATATCACCACTATGTATGTTTTGTGTGGCCAGTTCTCTTTCTAGTACCACGCTAGTCGTAATTGGGACATCTATCAGTATGTTATGCTCTTGGTCGATGTCCAACACGATCCTCTCTTTACGGCCTTGTGAAGCTTTGTTTTTTGGGGCTACAAATGGATGTATGTTAGGGGCAAAAGATCATTCTTTGAAGGAATCTACAACTATGAGGGTAGGCTCGATTGAGGATGAAAGGATACTTCTGGTGAGGTTAGGTTTATTTATATATAGTTTGTTGTTTATGATTGGAATCATTGGGTAATCATCAAGATTTTGGAGTACATCAAATCGTGAGTTCAACTTGACATTACTTGCATTTTCTTTGGGTTTGGCATTCGAAATTTGGGGTCCTGGTTTCCTCGATCTAGGTAACATGATCATCCATGGTCTAAAAGGACTTTCTTCTCTTGGTTCCTCTTGGTGTTAAGTTGATTGCCTAAGTTTGGACGGTAAATATTTACCGGCCCGAGTCTCCCTATTTACCTCACATTCTTCCTTTGTGTGCCCATATAGTCCGCAGTTAAAACAAATCTGTGACTATATAGTCCGCAGTTAAAACAAACCTATTGCAAGCCTTAGTATTCAATCTTTTGAGTAAAATTATTGATGCCGAGGCATGGTATAGCGGTTTGTTCAGGTCGACCACGACCACTAACCTTGCAAACTTACCTCTCTCACTTGTGTTGGTATGGTAGTCAATTCTAATGACTGTTTATATGGTATTAGAGATTGTCAAGAATATCATCTTCGTGTAGTACATGTAGGGTAGACTTTGGAGTCGGATCCAGATAATCACTTGTGATGAGTATTTCTCTGTCGTGAAGATTCCTCTACTCCAAAGTTGAACCGTAAGATAACTATAGTATATAGTCTAAGGGCCATTTGTGAGAACTTTCGTATAATCTTCGTTCTTCTCAAATTTGACTAGGTAATAATCATAATCTAGATCAACTAGATTAAAGTTGCCCAGCGGTTGCCAAAGAGTGTTTACTCCATTCCATAGTGCATTGTATCATATTCTTTTCCCTAGAAGTTGCACGATTACTGTTTGTTTCACGTTAAAGACTAATTAAACCGTGAACACGTTCTGAAAACCTTATCTTGGGGTAGGCACCGGAGTTATCAATAGATACATCGCCGTCTTTGAATATTATGTCGTTGTCCTTGAGGTTTATGATCGGTTATTTGCCTTTGTTTGAGGTACCCGCCGTTATTGAAGCATAACATGGCTTTCCCGTGTTAGGGTGAACTTGACTAACTTCTACAGCTAGTGCTTGGGTTTCTTCTCCTTCCTGCGCATCGATAACTTTCATGGATTCTCCATCAATAATTGGTGCAACTAATCGGTTCTTTACTTTATTTGTTACTCTTTGTTCTTTTAGGTTGATCGGAGCACTAGGACTTACCAGCGTCGAGGGTGGAACTATGGGTTTCTCTACTTCCGATAAAACCCTAGGATCTTGGTTTTCCACGTTCATAACTTCACGCTATTTCACAATAGGATTTTTTTTTGGATAATTCCATTTCATTACCCAAGAAAGCAGGAGACCTGCTACAAATTACAGCATACATAAAGCAATAGATCGCAGGATAACCAGTAATTAACGCAACAGGAAAACATGAAAGGAACTAGCTAAGAAATGCATAACTAAGCTTAACAAACAGGAAACCAGAAAAGAAGCACAGCTAAGAGATGCCCCAGCTTGCACAGAGAGTGGCATTCCTTGAATCGGCTCTGTTAATAGGCTTGCCAGCCAACCGGATGCGAACTGTCTCCTTAATATATCCTGCAAAACCGCTTCCACTGACCTAAAGCTGCTCCCAAATAATCTGTTGTTTCTTTCCTTCCAGGTACAGTAAATGTGACTGGTCCAAGCGAGCTTAAGAACTTTCACAATGAGCGATTTTCCCTTAAGACAATTGATCGCCCAAGCGAGTTCACCATCCCAATTACTAACCACACGAAACAACCCACACAAAGTAAGAATAGATCCCCACAAACTCTTAGCAAAGCTACATTCAAAAAATAAGTGCTCCTTATATTCTGCCTCACGATCACACAACAAACAATTAATATCATCAATACTAAGACCGAGCCTTTGAAGTCTAATCCGAGTAGGGAGTCTATTTAAAATGGCCATCCAAACAATAATGCTCTGCTTGGGAATACGCCCCGAAAACCAAACAAGATGCTGCCAAGGGACCTTTGCTTCCTTAATACGCATGTTATCCCAGATACGTCTCGCACTAAGGTCAGGAGCTGGATCAGCCAGAAGATGAATAATAGATGGCCTAGCTTTCAAGAGGCGTTTGAAGCTCCAACTAATATTATTGGGGATATCCAACTGCCAGAAATCACTGTCTCTAATCACATAGGCACGTAGCCAAGCCACCCAAAGAGAACCTTCATTGGCCAACAATTTCCTGACTAGTAGCATAATACAGGCCTTGTTCCAACCGCCTATATCTTGCACACCCAAGCCCCCATCGGACTTCAACAAACAGACTTTCCTCCAACAAACACGGGCACCCCTCGCAGACGAAGTCAGACCCCTTCCAAAAGAACCTAGAACAGAGCTGCTCGATAGGTCTAATAATCTCTTTTGGAAGAATTATTTGTTGACACCAAAAATTAGACATGCTGAATAAAACAGCACGGATCAGTTGCAACCTACCATCAAAGCTGAGGTGTTTGTTGGCCCAAAGATTCAGTTTAGCTTTGATCTTATCAATGAGACTTCGGTAGTCCTTCACAATTAATTTCCTTGACACCAGTGGCACACCCAAGTATCTCACCGAGAGACTACCCAATTTAAAGCCAGTAATATTCCCGATGGAAACACATTGCTGGGCAGAAATTCCAGCAGGAAATAGTTCACACTTACTAGTATTAAGCCTCAGGCCCGACATAGTGTAAAAAACGTCCATGACAACTTGCACCCCAATAATAGAGTCCATGGATCCTTTGCAAAAGACAAGTAAATCGTCCGCAAAGCAAAGGTGGGTAAGCCCAATTTTTTTGCACTTAGGATGGTAGTTAAAGACACCTTTAGCAGCGGCCAAATTCAGAAGTTTGGATAAGACATTCATCGCCAACACAAAGATGTATGGTGAAAGGGGGTTCCCCTGCCGAGCACCCTTAAAGTATCCAACAAGGCAGACATTAAGAACAATGGAGTAGCTAGGATTCATGATAAAGTTCCAAATCCAACCAATGAATTTCTCAGGCAAGCCCAAAGCATGCAAGATAGTCTCCACAAACTCCCAGTCTAAAGAGTCAAAAGTCTTTTGCAAGTCGATCTTAAGAGCACATCTAGGCGAGATATTATTTCTAGAATAGCCCCTAACAAGCTCTTGAGCTAAAAGCGTATTATCTATAATACTTATCCCCTTCACAAAAGCAGATTGATTCATTGTGATCATACTAGGGAAAACTACAGATAATCGGTTCACCAAAATTCTAGTAGCGGTTTTATATATAACCGAGCAACAAGAAATGGACCTATAATCTTTTACCATATTCGGGTTGGGGACTTTAGGGACTAAAACCACAGTAGTAGCATTAAAAGATGGGAGCATAAAGGAGTTATCGAAGCAGTACCTAATAGCTGCCAAGATGTTATTCCCAACTATAGGCCAAGCAACCTTAAAGAAGTAATAATTAAAGCCATTGGACCAGGGGACTTGTTGTTCCCTTGCCCCCATATGGCATCTTTAATCTCAGCATCGGACACATCTTTAATCAATATATCGGCAGCACCCCTCGGCAAGGAATAATCAAGAAGGCTCCTAATGATGTTAATATTGTAGCTCTGGACATCAGGGTCAGTAACCCCTAATTGATCCTTAAAGAATCGAATTACCTCATTTGACATGCCTTCGAATGAGTCTAGTTTAACCCCATCCTGGTTATACAGAGCACGAATGGTATTGCAAGTTCTTTTGTTAGCCACTATTGAGTAAAATAAACGGGTGCCTTGGTCACCATCTCTGATCCAATCAACTTTAGCCTTCTGTTTATAGAATAGTAGCTCTGCCTGTTCAAGGGAATTAAGCTCCCTTCCTGCCTCCAATTCGTCTTTAATGAAACTTCCAGCAAGAGCAGCACATAAGTTTGAAAGTTGAATATTTTGAAGCTCATCTCTCTTCCTTTGAACTTGCCCAGAAATATCGTGAAAGTGGGACATGTTGAGTTCCTTAAGGCAGCGTTTTAATATTTTCAACTTCAAGAATAATGCATGAGCAGGATTTCCAGTGGTCAGGGACTGCCATGAATTTTTTACAATAGATATAAAGTCAGGATGTGTTGTCCAGAAGTTAAAAAACTTGAATGGCTTTGGCTTATCAATGGGAGCATCCTTGTGAAACCAGACTAGAGCTGGGTAGTGATCTGAGTCACCAGGGGCATGAAATTCCACCACCGAAGAAGGAAAAGCCACGAACCAACTAGGATTAATAAGCACACGATCTAACTTACGAGCCAGGTAAGTATCCTGTTGTTTGTTTGACTAGGTGAATAAAGGGCCAGTATACTGGTGGTCAAAGATTCCCAATTCCTCAACACATCTCTGGAAATCAGAAATATCAGAAACAGTAGCAGAGTTTACTGCATTCGAGCTTTCCTCCATGTTTAAGATGACATTGAAGTCACCACCGATCAACCAAGCATCACTTCCCACTACACTAGCCATAGTGCTTCGCTGATTCCAGAGCTGTCTACGGGAAAAACTGTCATTTGAGCCATACACCGCAGTTAAAAAGAAAACCTTATCACCGAAAGTACTCTTAATGGTGATACTTTGGTCAAAGATAGAACTAATGGAACAACTCAAGTGATTTTGCCAGAGCACCCAAATTCGGCCATTATCAGAATAACTATAATTGCAGCAGAATCCCCAATCAACAAACTTTTTAGAAAGAATACCTCCAGAGTTACTCTCATTTACTCTAGTTTCAAGAAGGCATAATATGTTAATTTGGCACTTAGCAGCCCATTTCAATACTGCACTTTGTTTTAGGGGACTGTTAAAACCCATAATATTCCAAAAGCAGACTAACATGACAAAGTGGTGGAGAAAGAAGCACCACCTCTATCCTCATATGTTTTACCTTATCAGCATGTTCTTTCTTCTTTGACTTCAACTCTTGGATGATTGCTGACACACCCAAAGCAGTACCCTTCTGCTTCTTGCCAGAGTTACCAGAAGGCACATTCATCAAATTTTCAGGGTCTATGGAATTAAGAACATCAAATTTATTCTTAGAACCACCCCCTACGAATTTGCCATCCTTAGCTGGTCTACCTCTGCCCCTCTTCACAGGAGGAATATAAACATGCTCAGCTTCAGATAGTTTAGAACCCAAATCAGCTACAACATCACTCCCAACAATAGCCACATCCGAACTCTTAGAATGAACTCCATTAGCCACCATGACAGTAACCGAGTTTGTGCCAATTACATTAGACAAATTGCTATCAGTAGCAACAACTAGATTATCTGCACTATCAGTAGGCACAACTGACTTTAAGACAATACCAGAATTCCCAGAACTAGCAGTATGAACAACCGAGTTGTTACCAGCAATAATAGTCTGGTTATCACTATCAGTAGGCCCAGCTGGCTTCAAAGAGGTCCCAGAACTAACCACACTAGTACCGTGTGAACAACCAGGTTGCTTCCAGCAATACCCGATTGGCAGTCCACATTCTGATTATGTTCCATATCGGGACTAGACACAACAATAGAATTCTCTGTACATAAATTACTTGGAACCCCTCCAATATTATCAAAACTAACCACCTTAGCTGTTGGCACATAAGTTTTGGCTCTCCAGACCCGATCTACTTTCTTACCTTGGGGACAAAACTTCACAACGTGCCCAAATCGGCCACAGTCTACACAGGAACTGGGTAACCAAGGCACAAAAACCCTGATTCTAGCCAATGACTCATCGTAAAGAATCACATCAATAAAATCAGGGATCTGAGTTCTAGCAGAAATCTCTATACAGACACGAGCGTACTCAAGACGCTCACGACTGGCAGTTATCAAATCCATATGAAGAGGTCTACCGATCGCACTCGCGATATAATTGAGCCCTTTCTTCGAAAATAATTCCAAAGGTACATTATATAGTTGAATCCAAACATGCATATAGGTCAAATCAAAATGCAGTTCTTTCAGATTGGTTTCCCATCTCCGAAGGAAAACTGACTTATGTTGAACATGCCACAGACCGTTATCTAAAACCCAGTCCCTAGTGGAAGAATTAACAAATGAAAAAAATGAATAAATTCGAACCAGCTAGGCTTACCTTCACCGGTGAGTCCTTTCCCCACATCAGATTAACAGCTTTCTGAAGAAAAGTAAAATTAGGAGCCTGCCCAACAAATTGACCAACTAAGGAGAACCTCCATTCCAAAATACCTTCCTCAAACACAACACGAGATGACTTAACCACACAAGAACCCTCAACCACCGAAGGAGGAAAGAAATCTAACTCTTGATCAATCCCAGCCGCGAAAAGCTTTCTCCAGTCGACACTACCCTCACCAGCCATAAGTGAATAAAACCCCTCAAGAAAGTCCAGAGAAAGCAAGAAAATGAGCAAGAAACGTAGAAAAAACAGCTTCGTCTTCACCCGCCTGTTAGCCCAGCTAACATGCACCGAGAGAAAACTCATCTAAGTAAAATATCACAATAGGATTTTATAATTGCACAAGTTAAAAAAAATAAGATAAAACACAATTATATCAATTATCTATTCACATATTTAATTATATATTTTAGATAAAATTTCATTTGCTACTGAAAAATTGACTTCTCTCACATATATTTTTCCAATTAAATCATCTCCCTTTAAATATAGTATTTAATGAACGAACTGATGTGACTATTAAAATAATTAATAATTAATATAATTATATATTTAATTTTTGATATTTATATATTTTTATCAATTTAATCATAGTTTTAATTCAATTTAATACATATAATTTTTAATTAAATGATGACATGTGTTACGATATGAATAGAGGATATATATTTTCTAATTTATTTAATTTATTTCTTACACAATCGAATGATAACACATGTCATTATAAAAAAAATATTTTTGTAAAAAAAACTCTAATGTAAAGTTGAGTATGTAAAAATAATACAATTTCATATATAAAAATATTAGATTTAATTAAAATATTTAAAAAATTTAAACTTTCTTTTTATTTTAAATCAAATATTAAGATATTACTTTGAAGTTTCGATTTCAAACACCACATATATGTATGTTCATTAGCAAATAATTAAAAGTATTTGAATAGACCTTATATTCATTCAAAATTTATCAAAAATAAAAATAAATCAAGTATTAAGTATTAAATATTATTTATAATATATTTAATTATAAATAAAATATTTTTTTATTTAACTGAGATGATTACAAAGTAGCATATATTCTAAATATTTTCAATCATTTGACATTGAATATTCAATCGTCCTACTGCAGTTACTAGTGCTCAAATCTATAATCTCTAAAAATAATAATATTTTATTTACTTTAAGTGCTAATAAACTTCTCCGTTGACCCAAGTTCAAAACCATATTTAACACCAAAGAGACCAATAAATCTATTAATAATATTTATATATATAATTAAAAAATATTTAAAATAATGTATACCAATGAATGATTAACAGTAAATTAATCATTAATAATTAATTCAAACATATTATTTATATTTTTGTCAAAATTACAAAAAAGCGGAACCTAAAATATTGAAAAGGACAAAAATATTCCTTGCCTTCTTTCTTTTTCGGAACAATAGATTATTTATTTTTTAAATTTATCTTTATTTTTTACGCTTCTTGTTTAAAGTAGGGTTGAAGAAGCAGATAAACGCCACCACTGTCTCGTCTCTTACAAACCCCTAACTCTCCCCTTCTCTCTCAATCTTATAACCCTTTTTCTCCGTCGAACGAATCTTAATTCTTGTTCAACGAGTTTCTAATTTTCTTCCTCAGAGAAAGCAATGGGAGCTCCCTTGCCTCCGAAAGAGGCTAATCTCTTCAAACTCATCGTCGTAAGGCTTCGATTCTCTTTTCTCTCTTATGGTTCAATTCGAATTTCTTATCGGCATCCATTTTCGTATTGGTTTTCCTATGCTGCGTTTATTCGATCGCACTTCTTTTATCGTTTTGCTCTTTGCCTGTAAAACCCTAGCTGTATGCTGGTCTCTTTGGTTGTCGAAGAAATATCTGGATATCGAATGATAAATAGAAATTTGAACTAGATATGTTGTTTGACAATTAGTTTTTAGCAACTTTATTTATTTATTTATTTATTTATTTATAATTAAGTTCATTTTTTCTGGTTTAGCTATTGAAGCTTAAGCTAATCGGCTTTGCTTAAACCATGTCAATGAGGTCAATTTTTTTTTTCAAAAAGCAAATGTAAAAAAATTTAAATTTCCTTTGAGCATTTTTTAAACGATGCTTGTTCCTTATTTTTTTGCTTTTGACACAACTATTCAAGACATTACATGACCTTTGAGAAGCAATCTATTTGAGGATTTGATAAATCGGCCAAGCTGATACCTGGAGAACTTTTTTAGATTCACAGGTTAAAATGTGAATATTTATATATTTTAAGAACATGTTTGTATTAGATATAAAGAAGCTACATATGAAAGTTTTCAGGATTCCACTGTGAGTTGCTCTCTTCTTCTCTCTTCTATCAGTGAAAACTAGAACTGTTTGGTGATTCCTTCCCCTTTTAACTTCCTATTGGTAAATAAACTCTCGACAGCGTTTTTTCCTTGTAGCACCTTTTGATGCAGTTAATTTTTATATGTTACTTTTCTCTAGCCAATTCCCATTATGAATTTTATATTATTGACTTGGAAGTTCATGCTCGCTAAAGCTCGTCTATAATTTTTTGTCACTGCAGAAATCATATGAAACTAAGCAATACAAGAAAGGACTGAAGGCTGCTGATCAGATACTGAAAAAGTTTCCCGATCATGGAGGTAGTTTAATTGATGCATTTTTTTTCTGGTCAAAATGCAACTGCTTAGTCCTTATATTCTGATGTACCTGTGTAAAGATGCAAGAACTGTGAAACAAAAAAAGAACTTTATACTTACAAGGCAAAGGGTTTATTCTTTAGATAGATATTGCTGGGGTCCCTGTTATCAGTTTGGAGATTATATTTACAATTATACCCCAGAACTTGACATGATTTTTTCTTTGGGTTTGTTTCTTACGTCTTGTCATAGCTATCACTTGCATTTTTGAAAGCATTAGCTGTATAGTGATTATTCCATGATGTATGATGCTTTATATTGGTTGGTTTTTATTAGATATACAATAATGTATTATTGCTATAGTATATATTGTTTTCCCTTTCTGCATTTTATGAAATACACCCATCTATTTAAATAAGCAGCTTCAAATTAGTATTTTGCACTCCATAGTTTTACTACCTGTTGTTTTTTGTGTTTGTATTATCTTTTATGGGTTTCTTTTACTTTTTGTCAGAAACATTGTCGATGAAGGGGTTGACTTTAAATTGCATGGATCGTAAACCTGAAGCATATGAACTTGTCCGGCTAGGTTTGAAGGTTGTCTTGTTTCTTTTCTTTCAATCCATGTAATGTCACAGCACTGTCAGTATTTCCTGACATTGTTTTCTTGTTTGTCCTAGTGTAGAATGATTTGAAAAGTCATGTTTGCTGGCATGTTTATGGTCTTCTCTATCGTTCTGATAGAGAATACAGGGAGGCTATCAAATGCTATAGAAATGCTCTGAGAATTGATCCAGACAACATTGAAATACTACGGGACTTGTCACTCTTGCAGGTATACCTGAGTTACCTTTCTTCCTTTTGATTTTTGTGCTTCTAGACTCTGTATTTAATCCAAGAATCATGCCTTCATAACGAAGAACACCTGCTTGCATAAGTTCCCAAGATCAATGCTCAGCATGGAATTTTCTTGAGCAATTAAAGGAATTTCTCTCGTAAGCTTTGTGGTTGGCCAGAAAGGTTTCTTGAATTCTATTGTGGAATTTAATAATCGTAAGTATTCAGTTTAAATATGCAAGTTAAGATTGCAACTAAAATAGCTTGGTGCTAGCATTTTTACAGCTATAATGTCCGTGGTAAAGGCAAGTTCATTGTGGCACTGGCCACTTAGTATAATTGGATGAAAACCCAAATACCCAAGATCAGGCAACAAGTACTGTTGAAAATAAATTCTGACATTTGCTTGAAGGAATTTTCTAGTAGATAGATAGATAGAACCATGTTATATTGAGATGGTAACAAAACAATGATGACTGTAACGAATAACGATCTTCTTAAGCTTAAAAAAGTTGTCTTGTTTTTATTAACTTCTCAAATTTGGACAATAATTGTCTTGTGAGGTTTTTTTAGTTGTTCTGTGTTTTTTGTGAACAGATGTATTTGGTGTATTTTTAAGTCTTATGTAACTTGTTTATTTTTAATATACTGAGGTACTCTTTTCCTCCTTCCGCTAGTGGTTCTTTCCTTGGGGAATGGGATTACTATGAGGGAGGTTTTTAATGAGGCCTTCTACTTCTATAAAAAAAACATCGTCTGATATTTGGTGGCATATTTTTGAGTGATGGTTCAGATTTAGCATCTTAACGGAAGGTTTTATTTCGACCTACTCACAAAATAAAGTAGTTTGCAGAAGCAACCAGTTTGATTTTAGCCTTTCATTCTTGTTATACTGCAGTCGTTTTTATACTAAGATATGATGTTTGATAGAATAGAATTATTATTATTTGTATTTGGTCATGGTTTTGTATTTCGAATTTTCTTATATTTCTCATTTCATGTTGTTTCAGAAATTATTATATTTTTATTTTATCATTTTATTGCAGGCACAAATGCGAGATTTGACAGGATTTGTTGAGACGAGACAACAACTTTTGACTTTGAAACCAAATCATCGCATGAACTGGATTGGCTTTGCTGTAGCCCACCATTTGAACTCCAAGTACTTGTTATTCTTTTATTTTTCTTCAAATAATAGAAAAAAGATCCATGCTCATGCTTACATTTCAGTGTATGTGACTTATTTTGTGAAACATGTTTAAGAAGATTATTGTTATCCGATATGTGGAGGTTGAAAATGAAGGGCCTGTTATTATTATTTTGATAGGAATAGGAGGCCTCATTAAAAACCTCCCTCTTAGTTGGCTCTTGTGAAAGAGGCAACTAGCGGAAGGAGGAAAAGAGTACCTCATTATTGAAGCTTTGAAACATTTCTTCATATAATTAAAGTCTTCTTTAGATTAAATTTGTAGGGATCAGAATTCTTTGTTTATAATTACATAGTTTAAAGGCTGCCAACATGGGTGGGTTTACTGCCAATTTTAAAATATGGTTCATGTGGTTTATATGATTTTAGCTAAGCATTCAAAAAGGTTTCATGGAAGGTTGAAAAATACTAGGTTCTTTTGAAGGAATCAGAATCTTTTTCTGGCAATATATGGCGAGTGTATATCATGTTGAAGGTCCATCTATAAAAATTTGTTGCAAATTAGCAGTTTACAAACACTCCTTAAACAATACCTTAAATCGCTAGTTAACTGCAGAGTTATGTTGTTTCCAATGGTGTTATCTGTAAACAATGATTATGCTATATTTTCTTTTGGCTT